ATTATGTGTAAGGTAAAAAAAAAAAATCAGACATTTTAAAAATTCTCTTTTCTTCATTAATATTCTGTTTTATTTTTCTTTCACTTTTTATGTCTGACTCCTTATTTATATAAAAAAAAAAATAGTTAAAAAAATTTAGGTTTGTTTACTTTTTAAATTCGTTTAGATTTTTTTTTTTCTTGTGTTCTGTTCGACGGCCAGGTGTACTTAAAAATTCCTTTTAATACTTTTTCATTTATTTTTTTTCTTATTTCAATTCATATTCATTAATTTTTTGTTTTTTTTTAATTTTAAGAAGATACACATATGTATGTATATGTATATATAATATAATATATATATAGGTAGGGTACATCGAGCCGAATTGAGCAATAATGTCAGAAACTTAATCAATCTATAATGTGATCGAACAATATATACTTGGTTTTCTTTATAAAGAGCAGTATAGTAATTTTTTTATGTACAATTTTCAAATGAAAAATTCGACTTACTTACTTCTGAGATTTGAACTATTTTGAGGAAGAATATATAAAAAGGAATCGAAATTTTGTTCTTGCAAGTTAGACGAAATTCAAAAGCTGATTCAAAATATTGTAAATTTAAAACTCAAGTATATTTTAATAAAGTTCCAGTTTATATTCTAGTTGATCGAAAACAATAGTTAACTTGAGTCCAGGCTATACCTGTATACACGTTTACATACCACTAAATTATTAGTGCTATGTATATTAAAGACTTAAATATAAAAATTATATATATACTATAATCGAGAATTAGATCCTGAATCACCAAACAATCATTAACCATAATTGATACACAACAAAAAAAAGTCCCAAATAATTTGATTCATACTTACTATATTTGGAAATATTCGAATTCTCTAGAATTTTTTAAAATTCAAAGAACTCATAAAATATATTTTATTAAAAATGTATTTATCAAAATTAAAATTAATAAACAAATAACAAATGACAAATCGATCTTTGTATCCGGGCAAATCATGACGTTTTCCGAATTTTTTTCATTTTAAATTCAATTTAAATGATTATAATTTATTTTTTTTTTATTTGTTTAATGTTGTTTGTGAAAATATGCTGTTAATATCAGCTGTACATGGTTTGTTTTATAAGATTCCCAATTTAATAGTAAAATTGCCTATTTTTCGGCGTCAATATACTTTGTTTTTGGAAAATGTATTAGTGAGCTGGCTATATCGTATTATTGTATTTAATTTTTAATATTTTTCAGCGAAATTTCACTAGGCTTCAAAAGAACGATTTAAAAAATTATTTTAGAATCATTTAGTAATTAAGTAAGTAAACTAAAAATTTTTATCACATAGCCCGTTAGTAACAAATTAAATTAAAATTTATTTTCCTTTGCAATTTCTTACACGAAAACACAGCACTTAAATAAAATAAAAAAAAAAAGTATTTTATTTTATATTGTTTAAAAATTTATGAAATAATTAAAAAATAAAAATCGAAAATTATATACACAAATCGAACGTAAATAAATAATTAAAAAGGAAAACAAAGTAAAAACTAAAAGCGATTATTGCACGAACATTCAACATAAAAATTGTTCGGTTTGGTCATTAAAAAAGTCTGCTTCTCTCTCTCTGTTTATGAGCGTTATAAAGTGTGTTTATCTATATACATTCATACATACATATATTTATATATTTATATGTACATAATTATAAGTTTTCCGTTTTTTCTTTTTGTTTGTCAATCGAAAACGGTATTCTAGTATGCTTGCGCAAAATTCTAAAATGTTTTATTTTTGTCGGTTTTTTTGTTGTTGTTTTCGTTTTTTTTTTTGTTTTGTTTATTGCTATTATTATTGTTGTTAATTTGTTTTTTTTTTTTTGCACGCTTTGAATAAATAAAATGTTGTAAGAACAAGTTATGTGTTTATATGAGCAAATTAAAAAATTAAAATAAAAAAAAAATAAAAGATCAAGAGTGTATACTTACTCTACACAAAAAAAAAAATACAAATCTTTTGTAACTGACTGATAATAATTTATTTGAGTGGACAGGTTGTTTATTTTACTTTGGTGGTTGGATTTCTCTCATATAATAAAGTTTTTTAAAAAAAAAATATTTATTATTTGAAAGAAATAATTGGTCATTATTGTCCGTCATTGTATATTTGAGTTAAAATGAATTTTTTAAACTTTAGAAATAATTGAAATTTTAAGGTTATTGAAAATGTAAAAATATAGCTATGTTTTCTATTAAATAGATAGAGAATTCAAGCACTCTTATTGAAAATGGTTTTTCAATAAGAGTGTCTGAATTTGTTCATGAAATAAAAAGTAAAAGGAACTGACACAGCGTTATAATTTTAATTTCGATGTTATTCGGTTTATTTATTCATATTGAATACAATTATAGTTGGACGAGAATACCGTTCTAGTAACCCACAAATTTTGCAACTCACCCAACGGTCTTTTTGGTAAAATAATTGAACAATTTAGAAACGTTACTGGGGTTCCAATGTCAATTATGGCGACATATTCCATTGTTAATATTGACCACCTATTCCGTTGTTAATGTTATAGACTTTAAAGAATGATGTTTATTCTTCTTCGTTCAATTTGAGTACTTTTTCAATTACATAAATATTTTGTATATTATTATGCTATTATGTAAAATCCTGTATGGAAGTTTTTGTGCATGTTTGTAGAATATTGCTTATAATAAAACATAATTATTTTCATTTCTACTTAAACTTCAATTTGAATAACATCCTTATTTTTAACTTGAATTCTATCTACACATATACATAATGCACATACTATGTACCTGTAAAAATCGTAAAAAAATCAAAATGATTTCCACGTAAAATTATATAAATTCTGTAAATAATTTTTTTCTTCTTAAAGTATTTTATTTTGTTAGATTTAAATTCTATAAAAAAGCAAAATTGAATTTACAACAAACAAAACAAAATTTCAAAAATAAATTTCTAAATATTTTTATGGCTCAAAATGTAAATATTTTTTTTTTGTTTACTACATTTTAAATAAATTATTTTCATAGTAAAGTAATAATTATGTAGCTATAGATCTTTTATTTTTATTTTCTATTTCTCTTTTTATTAATTTTAAGTTGTAATTAAAATTAAGAAAAAAATTAAAAAGCGAAACAACAGAAAAATAAACCAATGATCCCGATAATAATGGTGCTTTTAGAGTGTTGTTTTATAAAATAATAATTTGAAAATATTAAAAGTAACATAAATTTGATTTTATTAAGGTTTTTCTCAGGCAAAACATAAAATTTTTTAAAGCGTTTATAAATTGTAAATTTATAATTTTTATTTATTGTACAACTTGAAATATTTAAATTTGAGGGTATATGCAATATACATAAATGTAAAATAAATTTTAGTAGAAAAATTTTTTATTGAACGCTGCTTTATGACCAGTTTCTAGTTGTTTAGTTTAATTTTTAATTCGTTAAGCTTGTGATTTAATATTTTCAGGAAATGATTCAGTTTTTATATAATAATAAATCAGAATTTTTGCCAATTTATCAAACAAAAATAGCATAAATTTAAATTTAATAAAGTTGCGTCAAACTAATGGTTTGTAATGTAGCACTTTTCCCTTCAACAAGTGAAAATTCTGCTTTTAAGAACAATCTAGCTAGATGCACTATATTATTAAAATTACTTTCACATATGAAAACAAATATATTTCAAAGATTGCATACCTTTAGGATGATGTTTGGATGAGAAATGTGAGCAATCTTCGAAATAAAACAAAAAAATAAAACAAAACAAATGCTCGAATTTATTCAAAATAATTAAATTTTTTATGGCAGGGCATGTACTGGTAGCTTCAGTCTCTTAGCTTTCTACTGTTAGCTTGCGGTCTCGGAAATGCGGAAGTACAAAAAATTCAATTTTTAGAAATTTTGAGATGCGATAACTTGAGGGAGGTTGGTGTTGGAAAGGGGGAGCTGAAAGGAGAGAGATAGGTAAAATTGTTCTTCTATGGAAATAAGTTTTTAGTAAAGATTTATGGACATATGAAATTTCATCTTTCTCTCTTCAACTCTGTTTTGTACACATGTCCACGGACGGTTGGACGGACGGACGGGTAGAGTGAAACTACTAAGCACTTTTTTCAAAATTTTTGTGGAAAAATACTAAAAATGAAATATTGAAAAATAATTTTCAGTATAACTTTTGAATATTTTGTTGCTATGAGAATTAGAGTCTCGTTTAAAAAATTTAAAAATCTATAATAATTGAATAACACATTTGAATCTTGTAATGGCGTTTTTCTTAAACAGTTTTGCATTCAATTTTATGCAAATGCTATAGTAGTTTTAAATCATGCTATATAATAAGCAATTTCGATTCAGAAATTTCGAGGAGAAATAAAAATTCCTTCCCCCGTTGTTCTCTTACAAGCGTTTGTAAAAAATTAATTAAATGAATTGGAAATGAACTAAGTGTAATACGGAAATAATATTGAATTTTTAAAAGATTTCAATAGAAATCCTGTGACTAAAGTGTATGTATAATTAAAATGTATTATAAAAATTTCAAACATTTCCTCATGTTAATTATGATTTTACTATATGGATATAATCATTTTAAGAATGTTAAGAATATGAAATAGCATCCTATAATTAAATTAAATTTTAAACTTGTATGTATAACTGAGTATTTTCTATACACATTTGTAATTATAAAACACAATATAATATATGTATATATAATATGAATAAATATATGTATACATTAAAATACTTAGAATTTTAATCAACATAATATTATTTTGCTTTGTTTGCTTTTTTTTTTAAATAATATTATAAAACAAAAATGGAAATATGACAAATTACTTTCCATACAAGGAATAACATTAAATAAATCCATCATTTATCTCCCTCTAATATTTATTTAATAATATAATTTTCTTTCTTTTATTTATTCACTTATACTCATATTCATATATATTTTTTTCTCTTTATTTACAGGAAAATGTAGTAACAATCAATCAACATAATGGATCTCCTTAACAATATTGAGTTGCGGTATTGAAAGGGGGAAGAAAGTTGAGAAATAAAACATAAAAATTCTGTGTATATCTTTTGCTCTTTATGTATTATAATACGTTAAGAATGTTTTAATGTAGAGGATAACAGCAAAAAAAAAAACATTAACTTAATTATATATTTCGGTCCTTTGCATAAAATCCTATCTTACATGTTTTATTTCTTCTGTCAAATTTCGTGTGTATGTGTGTGCGATTCTTATAAAAAAAATTTGAATTCAATAGCTCTTAATTAAAGCACACATATATAACGTAATATAAAAATAAAATATAATCACATTCTACGTATACACCTTTACGTTAAAAAATTAAAAAATTCCAAAAAAAGAGGAAAATTAAAAGAAAATAAAACAAAAAATTTATAAATACAAATGGCTAACAAAATGGCTCTAGAAAAATTAAAAAGGACCTTAAATACTTTAACAATATTTTCAATTTTAATATTTTTCATAATATTAGTACAACAATATCCAACAACAGAGGCATTCAATATATTCCTTCGTAAGTATAAAAATTTTTTAAATAAATTTTTTTTGATTTACGTTTTAACCTAGAATACACACATATTTTAGTTAGTGAACTGACATACATACATTATGCTTTTTCAATTTGCCAAAAATTTGACAATCATATAATTTTTGACTTTCAAATTCGGATTTAATGTCAATTATTTAAAAAATTATTTTTTATTTATTAATTATTTGAGAAACATTATTTAAAAAACATGTGCTGCTTATGTTTATAGTTTAAGAAAATTATCGAAATGTTTATAATATTTGACAATGTCAAATTTTAGATTATTTAGGAAAGTATCGCATTTTTTATCGATCTGGCTATTTGCAAACAGAATAGTTAAGTTATAAATAGAGGATAAATATTAAGCAAATATTTAGGAATTGGGAACATTGTAGATTGTAAATTGTAAAATGCAATAAATAAAGATTTGTTGTGGTTCCACTGCCTGGAGTGTTCTGCCTAGAGTACCCCCTCGAGACTCACACTTCTGACGAATCCGATCAACTTTCCCTGGTGGATATCCCACAACGGAATTATATCTATATAATTGGAAATATTGTTCCTATGCCAATCCTGCTAAAAATTATATTCCAGAATTTTGGTCAAAAATGGTTTATTTCTACACAATTCGCACAATTACGTTGCAAGTTGATATTATTTCTTTTTATATTTTTATGAAGTTAAGGGTTCTAAAATTGTAAATGGTATAGATGTTTGTTGTAAACAAGTTTTTATTTAAAATTCATTATAACTTTGTTGCCAAAACCATCAGTACGGTTTACTTACACTTCACTGAACTTGTAAACAAAATGAAAATTACATGAAAATATTTTAAATTTATTAATCATTAATAATACAATATTAATGGTCAAATAATTAAATTTAAATTTTAAAGCTTATATTTAAAATTATTAATTCATAATAATCTAATTAGAATTCTTAATTAATGATATTGAATTCGTTATTAATAATATTAATCTATAATTTACTTGAATAACAATTATTATTATAATTGACAAATATAAAATTAATGTTGTCCGATTGATTCAGTTTTAATTTTAAATTTAATAAATTAAATTCATTTCAATTAAAAAATTGTCATTTTAAATATGCTTATAAGAATATACGTATATAATTGATTATTTTTAACCAATCTTATTTAACTAATTTCAAAATAAATAACATACAAAATATGCATAATGTACATATGTACATATATAAAATCGCATGTACCCATTCGATAAAAAAACATTAAATTAACTACTTAATTACATGTATTAGCAATTATTGTTAATTCATTGGTGAAAAAAAAAGAACAAATGTGCAAAAAAAGAACGGAAAATAATTTAAGTGTGTTCAGCACATGATCGAAAAAGTTATCTTTGATGACAGAAAAATGCAGTATTACCTAGCGTTATTTATCTTGTGTCAAAATTTAGTAAATTTATTGCTCTGACGTTATAAGCAAAAGTGTAAAAAGCTAGTAAGGAAAATTTGATCTTAGCTTTAAAATTTCATAATTAATAATCGAATCAGATTTTGAGTTTAATTTATTCGAAAAACGGTTTTTCGGATCACGATGTTTTGCATCTTCGAGCTTCGAATGGTTATTCGAATATTGCTTCAAACGACAGATTTATTTTATAAATCGATACACAATTGAATCTATTCTTAAGGGAGATATAAAGTTAAAAAATTAGATAAAATTGTATTTAGAATGAAAATTACTCTTGATTTCAATGAAAGCAACTTTTGTTAGTTTAGGTTTACTGAGGTGTCTTCTTAAAACCATTAGTCACGTTAAGGTTCATTTTACAGCCGATTTTTAATAAAAAGTTTGATAATTCGTTGCATTGACAAACAAATCGCAAACACATTGTTTGAACAAGACCTAAAAGTGATTGCCTTAAATACATATGTTAAATTTAAAATTGTAATAACATTAGTCACCATAAAAATTTTTGAAAAGATCCGAACTATCAAAAAAAACTGAGAAATTTATCTCCTATATCCTCCTTAAAGAAAACTATAATTACCTTTCCCAAATAGTTTCTTCTCTTTTTACAAGATAATCGTAAAAAGAGAAGAATCCATAAATTCTGACCAAAATAACATGCTAAATTTGATGGAAAAACAATACCACCCATATTTAATTCCAAATAATCATTAAAAAACAATATTAAATTTAAAATACTGCAAAAAAAATTAATGACTTGAGCAGAACAATTTTTTTTAATTAATATTAATGATGTGTAAAAATATTAGAGTGTACCTATCTTTATTATTTTGTAATGAAATGTTAATGAATTTGTATTTTTTAATCTGATTTAATTAAATAATGTAATAACTAGTTATATAATTTAATAATTCAAGAATTCACATGTATAAAAATCAAATATCTAAATTTTAAAAATGAATTCGCAATGATTATTATTTTTATTACTATTATTATTGGTTCTGCACTTGAGATCGTATAAAATTTTATGAATTCAACGAGTGAACACTTAATTTATTTACTTGTAAATATCAAAGCTTTCATATAAAATACGAGTATATAGGATTTTTTTTCATATTTCCATAGATTTAATTTGATTTTTGTGATTATAATGATATTTCAATGTGCATAATAATAATTAAATTACATGCAGTAAAATTGTTAATAGTTTAAAATAGCAAATTGAATCTCTTTTTGCGCTACTGCAATTATGATATTTAAGAATTTTAAAAAGGTGTGACTATAAATTCAATTTTTTTAAAATTTATTTTTAATGTTATTGCATTTGATAGACGTAACTATACAATGCTCAAATTTTAAAATTAGTTATTATAATAGTTATTATTAATTTACGCTATGATGAACATTTACAGAAACTTTAAATAGTCCTAAGAACGTTGTTTTGCTCTAAACAATGAAATTTTAATCGAAGCAATTTTCGATTTGTGAAAGATGATTTTGGAAACGTTGTTATTCTCGCCATCGTCAAATGAATTCAGTGTGATTATATACATTTCATTATAAGTAGACTGCGATGATTCAGCAAACTTCAGAATTATTAAAACATTTCATTTTCACGTTTTAGATCTGCATGTTATTGGCCATCATCGTATTTTTTTGGGGACTCTTTTTTATGTCGACCATTCAGTTCATTGATTTCAGTTTATATGCAAGCACAATTTAACGTGTGGAAATTAATATAACAGTCCCAACGAAATATGAAAAGTAGTGGCTCAAAATTCAAGCATAAACTCTTAGAGTGAAAATAATTTTGAAAATTATGTAGCTGGCAACTTTGTTCTTTGGTTTACATTTACTGTAATTTATTTACAAAAGTGTATTAGTATTTAAATGTAATCAGAATTTTACTTACAATGTATATAGTTAAATCTGAAGTAATATAAATTTAGCACAACTCTTTCTGAATAGAACATTTTTTACAAAGCCCTCAGATTTTTCAGAAATCTCATTCGTTCAAGATCTTTATATAGCCTGCACCTTCGTATAAAGGGCATATTAACTTTGGTACGGAATTTGTAACAACAACTTGAAGAAATCATCTGCGGTATAGTCATATATACATATATTCTTGCTCAGCGTGAAGTTCTGCGTTGATTTAGACATGTCCGTCTGTCCGTCTCAAACGCCAATTTTATATATTCGGAAAAATAGTAAAGTTAGGTTCATGAGATTTGAGAGTCATGTATCCAATTGTAGGTCACACAATATCCTTGAAGTTTTTTTTGTAAAGGCTTGACAGGTTTGAGCCAAACAACAATGAAACCTAATTCTAAATACTTCAAAAATAAGCTTTTATATACTCAAATTGTCAAGGTGCAGGATGTAATTCAGCCAGTTTAGATCGACTGAAACTTTTACTTTTTATTTCTGAAAATCATTTGAAAATTACTGCAACTTTAACTACGATTAAAATTTTTACTCATCTCTCTATACTCATAATATTAATTTCTCATATATCTTCGTTGTTACCAATATTTTTTGAAATTATCTTTAAATGTTTAAAATAGAGAAACGAAAAAATCAACCAAACAATCAAGTGAAATAAAATTCATTTTTATTACAATTCTTCTTTTTTTTTTTTTTTGAATTTCAACATGTACACAATATTTCTACATTCAAAAAATATTTATGTTTTCTAAAATTCATAAAATAAAAAAAAATAATATTAAAAAAATTAAAAGAACAAGTTTATAATAAAAAAAAAACGAAATATGAAAAAAATATTTACCTAGGTTTTACTTGAAAATTTTGTAATATGTCAATTTCAATTTACAACCCTCAAAATACAAAAAACAAAAATACCAAAAGAATTGAAAAAAAATAAATAAATAAATGAAATTTTTTAAAATTTTATATTATTGTAATTATGTGTATATGTGTCTATGTACCTGTAGTAGCTATTCATACGGAATAACAATCACAATTAAAATTTTCACAAATCCTGGCTCAACAACACATCATAAGGTTATAGACATATACATATAACGCAAGTGTATATGTGGTTATGTACTAAAGAAATGAATGATACAAAATACGAGATACAAAATCAGTGTTGCCTTTTTATTATTATTATTGTTATTTTAATACAAGATCACGACGAAGACGTCATGTCAATAAAAAACAGCAGCCGCATAAAATAGCAACAACAGCAAAAATATTTTTTAACAGATTGATGTTGAAGACTGAAGAGAATCACTGGGTATTTATTATTATTATTATTACATGCCTACATATATAATAATATGTATATACTCGTTAAAACAAAAAGAAAGCAAATAAACCTGATCCTTAAATCACTTACACAGATTTTCGTTCTAATATATCTACATAAATACATACTTGAATAACACACCTATAACTTTGTGTAGTATAATAGTTTTTAAAGGTAGATTCACAATTTTGTACCGATGAGTTGATGTTAATGATCGAATTCGTGATAGTTGGGTATTGTATTAGGTAAATCTATAAGCATAAGAATACTATATGATATGTGTGTGTAAGTACACAACATGGACGTATATATAGGTATAGGCATCAAACCCATTGAGAAATTCCAATCACAGCATGGTGTATGTTAAAAAATTGTTTGTAAAAACAAGAAACAAGGAAAAAATTTAAAAAAAAATTTCTACGGGCAATTTACGAGTTTTTCGTTTTGTTTTCTACGTTTCTTTTTTTTCGAAATTGTTATTTGATTTTATTATTGTTATTTATTTTACTATTATAATTATAGTTGAATGTTTGTTTCTCTATAAAATGTCTGATGTCTGTTGGTGCTGCTGCATAATATTTTTTTGAATAAGGAACTTGAGAAAAAATAGGTTCAAAGTTAAAAGAGATTTATTTGAGAAGAGCTTGTCATTATGCTTTTTTTTTTTTATATGTATAAATGAATGTAGATTGGTGTGTTGATTTTTTATAATAAATTTTATATTATTTTCTTTTATTTCCTTTAATTTAAGATAACCAGATTTTTAATTTTATATATTTGATTTTATCACTTTAATAATGTTTCATATTTTTATATTTTATTTGATCTAGAAATCATGATCGTTTTGTTATACATATAACATAAATGATTTTAATGTGTTCACCCATTTGTTGTTGTACGAGTTTTTTTCTTTACATAACTTCTTATACAGAAAATATGCCATAGTGCTTCATAATTCCTCTTTTTTGAATTAATTATTTTTATAACCTGATGTACAAACAGACACAGTCACTCATATTTTTAAATTAATTCTATTAGTTAATTTGGAATTCATTATTGCAATCATTTTTCTAATTATAAAAAGAATTTTTCTATATTTTTTTATTTTTCATAATTACTTGTTATATAATATACACAGCATAGAAATGATTAAAATCGGCTGTTCTAACACTGTAATAGTGGCATGAATAAATAATTCTGGAAGTATACTTACATATGAGTCTACTTAATGAACACCACTTCTACTACTCAAAAAATAATTTTGTTTATTAAATATATCTAGTTGATACTAATTGATTAGAGATGGACTGTGTTTTTACAGCCTGTCATTTTTCGACAGTGACTTAAAAGTAACAATCATTACTCATTAAAAACTAAACGTTGCTCATCAAAAATGAAAAGAGCAATGATTTGTTAGTAAAATGAGCGTCACTCTGTTTGTTGATTATAGTTCAATACAAGCTCCAGGCCATCTTGGATGTAATGGAATGCCAAAAACTCCGCCCTCATGTATGACAACCTAGAGTTTAGGCACACTCTATATTGCCTTTCTAAATTGAATAATTTGTTGAATTAAATTATTTAAAGAGAAACGGAACTTTCAGTAATTAAAAACGAACTGCCAAATTTATATACAAACATATAAATATTCCCATTTAAGTATAGCACGCGCCTTATGTGTTATAGGTCGGACAGATTTTAAAATGTAAAAAATCGACCTTAATGACAAAATGAACTGCAATTTTAACTGATGATTTTATTTCTGAATTCCTTTGTCATATATAAGTATACGCGCAATATGTTTGCTTACATATTGATGTTCTAAAATTCACTTGCTCTTTTGGGATTGCTATGATTTTTTTGTTGACTCACCTTTTGTTTAATTATGTAAACATATTTGTATGTAGACATTAAATTGTAGTTGCATTCACGTAAATAAAATGTACAAAAATATTGAGAGTAAGATTGTTATCAGGTATTTTGTTTTAATTCTTTACTTTACTTACAGTATTTGTTTTGCTTGTTCGTCGTTTTACCTTTCCTTTTGTTGTTTGGGTTTTCGTTTTTTTTTTGGTTTGTTTATTTTGGTGCCCATTGTTGTATTCAACGAAATTGAGAGAAAATTTTATTGTATGTTTTGTTTTTGTTGCATCACTTTAGTTATTGTTCTTTAATAGTTTTTTATGTATAGGTATGTATGTAACATTTTTTTGAAGATATAATTTCAAGATAAGAAAAATCCAGGGAATCCTTTATTAATGATGGCACAGTATTATTATTATTATTTTTTTTTATTATTTGTTTTGTTATATTATGAAAAGCGACAAGCGCCACCTTCACCTAAAAGTCCATTAATTGTTTATTTTCGTGGAAAAGCGGATGTCTATGTATTATACCTTTACAAACATATATAATTTACTGAATACGGGTACATGTACGGCGCATGTATTTTTGTACATACATACTCGTATTTAGAAATAAATTTCTGTTTTGGATTATTTCGGAATTTTAATGCAATGTTTTCTTTATTATTTCTAAAGTGATTTTTCAAGAGACTACTAATGGGAAGTTAAAAGTATAAATAAATAAATAAAAAAATCAGAGGCATCTTAAAAACTTGTTTTCATGTACAACTTTGGGTTTTTATTTGGTTTTATGAATGATAATTCTTTATTATTCTTGTGATCTTAAAAATATTTTTGTTATTGTGATTTAAGTATTTAAATGCGGAAGGATTTTTCAGCATTAGGAGCGGGTACAAGTTATTGTTTTAATCCAATGCTGCGTATACGAATTGTTTGTGCGTTTGATATCAACTATTTAAGAAATAAAATCAATGTTTTGTACTTCAGAAAATCCAGATTATAATTCAGTTTATGTCCTATTATTTTTTGATATTATAAAACTGGTGCAGTCTGATTTAGGTCGCCAGACAAGAATATTTTAAAATGTATAATAAACAATTTTTGTTTCTTTTTTTTTGTGTTTTCAGTTTTGAAGACGATTCATTCGATTAAAGGAATTTTAATTAATCAAATTTCAAATTGTAATCATTAAAAATTTTAATCCATTTTAAATGGAATAAAATTTTGAAAATGGAATTTAATTATGTGTATTGCTGGGTAGCATAGAACAATGTATAATAGAATAAAGGTTTTTACATATTTTATATTTGAAATTTAAAAATTTAGTTCGGTTTTAGGTATTAAAAATGTTTTTATTTTAACAACTTCTGCTAACAATTTTGACTAGACACTGAGAAATATATAATATGTATAGTTTTTAATTATTAAAAATTCAATATTTTTAATATGTGATATTAATTTTAAAAATTTTAATTTTCTATTTTGTAGCTGGAACCCGGGAGCAATGTACAAATGAAGGAGAAGAGTATCCATTAGATAAGAAAACTTTTAAGTGCTTTAAATGTTTCTGTCAGGTAAGTCTTATTATTATTCTTTCTTTAAGTATAAAATTTTGATTCTTTCTAATAACCTGTGCGCCTCTTCAGGCAATTATTACATTGATGGTAATTGTATTTACAATTTGTATATGTTGCAAATGCTGGAAGAAATGATGGAAAATTTTGCAATAATATAAAATTAAATGAACCATTGCTATTGCTGTCATGCTAATTGAAAATTCTCAATTATTTCTTCATGACTTCGCTGCATAAACTCATTTAATCTTAAAAATTTAAAAACATTATTTTCTACTTAATTATTATGTAAATTACATTTCTTGTTTCTATTTTAATTAATTTTAATAAAGATGTTTAATTTCAATTGCTTATTATACAAATGAATATAAATATCGTATTACTTCATTAATATACGAGTATTAATTGTTAATCGAAATATGAAGTCAAATTCAATTACAATAAAAAATAATTTAAAAATAATTTTTCAATATTTTTCTTTAATTTTAATAAAATATATGTAAAGTGGGTGTAAATAAATTTAATTTTCTAATTTATATACAAGAAAAGTATAAAAAAAAAAGATTTATTTGAAATATTTTTAAATTACTTTTTATATTAATTATTAATTATATTAAATTACTATTTATATTAATTTTATATTCATTTTTTTTCAATTATTTTCTTTTTACCTAATTTAGATTTGAATTGATTTTATTTATTTATAAAAAATATATAATTTTTTTTCTTTTCGAATTAAAAATAAAAATTTTATAATTTATTATTTGATTTCTATTTTTATTATATCAATTAATTTAATTCATTTTATCGCAATAAAATCATATAAAATATTAAAAAATACCAGTAAAATGACAACCCTATTAATTATTAATTAATAAATAACAAGCAATTAAAGATAAAATATATACTTATATATTGCAAATATATATATATATATATAATTATTAAATTAGACCATATAATATGTAATAATATGTACGGCTACACAGGGAAAAAATTTTTTGGAAACTCAAACCAAAAAATTTAAGCGTAAAAATTTTTGAAAATTGAGATTTTTTTTTCAGTTTTCAAAAATCTTAAATAGTGCACAAATCTTTAATTTTGAATATCTGACATAACTTTAAACGTATGATTTGTGCAAAAACAACTTGGTTTTAAATTGGTTTCTGGACAGTTATTCTGTACCCTCAGAATTATTCTGTATAAATATTCAAATTTTACTGTATAGTATTGCAATGTCGACGATTTTTGGTGCATTCTTCCATTTTCATACTTAATGTTATTTGATTCGTTAATAGTGCCTTGTTCAACAATTTTTCAATGAATTTTTTACATTGTTAAATTTTTTATACGTGTATTTTCTTATATATAGGGTTTTTTTTTTCTTAGACAGTAAATTCAAAAGAATTAATCCCCATTAAAGCTGTACATTTGTTTATTTAACTGTAAATAGACTCACAAAAATGAAAAATGCTACTAAATTGCCTGCATTCCCTTTGTCATCTATTCGAGCTACTAAAATCGGTAATCTATTCGAGCTACTAGAATACTCTCTGTTATATAAAATTGTATTCAAAAAATATTTTTGAATATTTTAACTTCAGTGGATTTCTTAGTAAGCGAAATATCCGGAGAAGGAATGAGACAAATTTGCAAGAGGAATTTTACATCTCGAAAAATTAACCTTTTTTTGGCGAACTTTAGACGCTGGTGATGTTATCGTATATCTTTGTTCCAAAAAAACTAATCGTCCAATTAACATTGAAGTTTGTTTGTTTTAATATTTCCTGATATATGTTCTGCAGTTGCTGTTTTGGGCTATTAAAAGAACACCACAACAAGTGTGGCAGGCCTTTATTTTTCAAATTACCTAATAACGTAGGTGACAGCTGTGCTTGAAAAAGTTCAAAATTACACGTGTAAAAATTCTTAAATATTTAATTTTTTCTATTAAAATTAAAAATTCTATTAGCCTTAAGAAAACACCCTGTACATTTATTTATTTTACAAATATACTTAATATAGAAAATGAATTAATATTAAAAAAATTAAAAATTACGTTTAGAAAAATATAAGGAAAGATGTTGAATTAATTATAATGATTACAAACAAAAGTGTTATGTATAACAAGTATGTGCAAACACTTGAGTATGTATAACATGTTGTGCATGCTCTTACATATATAACATTTATAGACATGTGCACCTACATATTTACATATATTATATATTTATACACATCCATACACAAGCAGAGTTTTGTAATTCTTATGACATTTTCCTCTTACAAATTAAAATTTATTAAATTTCAACAAGTTTGAAGATTAAAATAATTGATAAAACTTAATAAAATAATACGTGCATTAATCATCTTGAAAAAAATTAAAATAAAAAATTGCTTATATAGAAAAGCAAATGAAAAATAATCCTTGTACATAATAAAATAAAAGTAATTAGAATTGAATTTTTCACATTTCTTACGTAGTTTTCACTGAACGTGCAATTTTTATTAAATTTATTGAAATTCATTTTAAATAGTTTGTTTACTTTTAGAAAAAAATAATTATTTTTTTTGGAATAATAATAAAGTTTTTAATCAAATATTCAATTAAAAAATTTAATTGAATTTAGATTAAATTTGGAATTTAATTTAAAAAAAAATTAATTAATATAGATTATTTTCTTTCTATATTTTTAAACTTATTTTTTATTAGTGTTATTCCGGAATAACACAAATTATGTACGAACTGACATATTAGATTTTCAAAATTACATAAGAGACGGTTGTTATTTTCTAAATTGGTAATTTAAATTAAGAATGTTTAAATTTTGTTTGATTACCTTTGCTGTATTTATAAAAATACCAATTGTTTTCGTTTCCGAATATAAGTGGCAAAATTTGAGGATTAGTTTAATTCAAAAGTTCATTTGATAATTTCTATAACAAACGTTGGTTATGTTCGAAAACTTTATGTACAGCTAATGATGCCAAGACGAAAATATTTGTGGGGTCAAATATAGATGTTTTGTTCAGATTCATGTTGATTGATTGGTTCATTCTATGGCTGCCTTCATAGATTCGCAACAAAGGTTAACATAGTTCAGCAAAATGCCATTTTAATGTTAAACCTCAGTAAAACTAAAATTAATTTTTTACTTTAAATTTTCACACATAATTAGAATTTTTCAATTTCGTTTGTTGAAAGTTATGTGCAGAAATATACTGTTTTTCATGATCATCGAAAATTTTTTTATTTTCTAATTATTAGAAATTATTTCATGTCACAAATTATGTTAAAATTAAAAAAATATTTGATTTAATAATGAGCTGCTTATGCTTTATAATTTTTTCTTTACTACTTTATTAAAATATAGAATATTATGCTACAAGTTTCTTGCTTAAGTCTTTTGTTTTTTTAAAACGCGTATGTATACATGTATGTAGATATGATATACCTACAAACAACTCTATAAGTTCGAAAGTTTCTAAGTTAAGTCTTTTGTTATTAGTAGAAATATTAATATTTTAAATAGTTAAAAAATAATTGAATTTTCGAAATTATTCTAAAAAAGTAGCCTTCGTAATTGATATAATCCTTCAAAACTGAAGACAAATTAAATTAGTTTTAGAAAAAATCAGAAAAAAGAAAATTTATTGCGCAGATAAGTTCTTAATAATTTTGTTTACTAATAATTGACATTATTGAAGTACCGACATCTAATTTCAACAAAATTAATTATTACTTAATTTAATTTGGAATAACAATTGATTTAATTAGCTAAGCACCGTCTAAAACTTAAAAAATCTCAATTATTTTTAGACATAGTAAGTACATTAGCTTTGATTTATTCATTTTAAACTAAGTAGAAATAGCATTGTTTTTTTTTATTGTAAGTGATTTCAGTTGAAATTTATAATTTAACTTGAACAATTTTATATAATTTTACTATTATTATAAATAATAATTAACGTATGTGATAAACTTTAGTGCTTTTTCACGTAATTATGAAGTTTACTAATAATTAATTTTATTAATATATACATTATGTCTTTTTAATTCAATAATATTAATTTTACTTTTAAATGCTAAAAAAGAACGTCATAGCAAGTGAAGCTTCCATTTCCACGTAGAAATAATATTTGAGGAATTTTTTTACTATAACTTTCAAAGCGCGCCAACACTTGCTCTGAGAGTTTATGTAATGACAATTTAATTTGAACAATTTTCTAAAACTTAATACCTCCATGAATAAGCTTAATAATTAGAATAAGACACGTAGTTATTAATTGAGGTATAATTTACAACAGAAGAAAATAGTTAAGCAAAAATTATATTATTGCATTTACCATTAGTATAACAAAATAAAATTCATAATCTCATAAATAACAAGAACAACTGCTCATATACTTTTATTTACGCTATTATTTTTTTCGTGAAGAGTAAAAAAAATTAAAATTAATTAAATCTCAATTCTCTTTATTTCTTCTAAACAATTTTTGTAAAATTTATTATTAAATTCAATTTACGTTGTTAGTAAACAATAATTAACGATCGGTAAATGATTTTAAAATATTTGCCAATAGCAAATATTTTGCTTTATATTTTGTTTTTATTCAATTAAATTATGAAAATCTATGTGTACATGTATGTGTATTGTATTGTAGAAATATGAAAACACAAAAGCACAAAAAAAAAGCAGGTAGTTTTTTTTTTTGTATACCAATTTTACTTTATTCTCATTTTATATAATTAAATAAATTGTATATATGTATATTTAGACGCTCAGATATGTCACTTTATGTTTTACAATAAACTTGTATTATTGACGCCAGCTTTCAATCAACCATTAATAATAAGAGGAAATTTATTTAAAATAAAACAATTTATTAATATTATTATGAGTAGAAATCTTGTTAAATGACTAGATTTAATATGAATTCGGTGTTATGATTTGATACACATTTGTTTGTATGTGACATGTGCTTATGTCATAAATATT